TTTTTTTTTCTTATCATTTTGGAAGCTCTCTATACCTTATATTTTTAGCATCCATCTTTAATATTAAATCTTCAGCAAAAACTAAAGTGCTGTATATTTCTGTCTTCTTGAATGAGTGAAAAACCTTGACTTAATTTAAGTGTTACTGTAACCCTTTTTTGGTTTTGAGTTTAACATATTAAGTAAACATCTTAACTTATATATTTTATATTTATAATTTTTTACATTTATTATATTTATGATTATTTAGCTATATTTTTATCATTTCCTTTAATGACCATTGTTTTTAATTTTTATTGATTTTTTTGTATGTAATGCTGAGATTGAATCCAAGACCTCACACATGCTAGACAGGGACTGTACCTCTGAATTACACTCCCAGCCCCCAAATCATAGTTTTTAAAAATATTGTGCTTCTTTTCTTTTTTGTCTTGCAAAAGTTGATAATTTAATTATTGTTTTATTTAAAAAAGATCCATGGTAATAAGTTCCTTTAATATTTGTAATCTTGAAATGTTTTTAAGTTGGCATTACTCCTATAATTATCTGGATAGACAATTTTAGAATATAGTTTGTCTGCTTTCTAATTTCTAAGTTCGTGGTAGTTGTCCTTCATTATCTCCTAACATTGGCTCTTATAACTGGGAAGTCTGAATTCATTTAATCTTCTTTCGAATTTGATGAAAAAATTTTAAAAAGATTTCTTTATCTTTGATGTTATAAAAGTTTGCTATGATGAGTGTAGGTGTTAATATATTTTTATTTAATTATGAAGTCTTCAGAATGCATATATTTTATCACTTGTGAAAATGTTATTCAAGTAATTCTGTCTGTTTTTATTCCTGGAGTTCCTTTTCACATGTATTGGGTCACTTTGTACTGTGAAACTTGGTGGACCTTGTTACTTTCTTTGTGATTTACTCTTATTTTGTGTCATATTTATAGTACTATTTCCTGAAGCCCAAACTTTTGCTTTGACTGTGTTTAGTCTAAGTTATATTCTAGTGGGCATTTAGTTTCCATACTTCTTTCTGGTACTAACAAAGACCACATATTTGTCTTTGCTCTCACTCGGCCCTTGTGTCCTTGACATCATCATTTCATTTATATAGGAATTAGAATAAGGACATATTTTGTTACTCTTATTCCCTGAACAAACTGTCAGTGGGTCAAGTGTGTATGAGAAATTTTTGTTTTATTATTTCTTTTCTAATGCACTTCTTTATGTACATCCACATTTATAATCTTTATCAGTTTCCTTCCCTCTGACAAATGTATTTCATTTCTTGCACAGTAAGTCGAGTGGAAAGAGCTCCTTCAATCTTAGTAAGTGTTGTAGCTCTGCTCCACCCTGCATGACAATAACAGGGCACAAATTCCTAGGCTGTTGCATCTTGAGGACCAGGCCTTAAGCCTAAATATCCCACATCACTCTTTTCTTGTGTGTATGGGTTCTAAGATCTAATTTGTAAGTCTTTTCTCCTATACAGGTAGGATTTTTCCCCCCTCTGGCTTCCATCAAAATATTTTGGTTTTCTTTGATCTCCTGCAGTTTAACTAATATATGTCAAATGCATTTGTTTTTCTTTGTTTTTAGCATTTTTTCTTAGTTTGTTTGTTTTTTCCCTGAGATTCCTGGATCTGATTTGGTTTCTGACATTATGTGAAGAAATATCACCTCTGCTAAGGTGATATTCTCTCTCTGTATTTTTCTTCTAAACTGTACATTTCACATATATGAAGTATCTTGTATGTCTTCCACAGTTCCTAGATAGTCTTTCTTTCCCCACTGTTTTTTTCTCATTGAGTTTATTGGTACATTTTAGGTATACAGTACAGTTGCAATCATCTTTGGGATTTTGTACCTCTACATGACAGGTCTTGGTTCTCATTTTTTCCCCATTCTCCTGCCCTCCCTTCACCCCCTCCTCCTTTCCCTATTTACAAACACTATTTCCATTCTTTTCCTTTTCCCTTATTACCTTTCCCCTACCCTTCCCATTGCCCCTGCCCCTTTAGTCCTTTTCTTCTTTTCACATTGTCAGTTATCTCATTAGGATCTTATGTACCTTTACAGTCTTTCACACCAGAAAACTATTTGGTATTTACACACGTGTGACTTATTTATTTCACTTAGGAGTATATCTTCAATATGTATCCATTTTCCTATGAATGAGTCTAATTTCTCATTCTTTATGGCTGAGTAGTATTCCATTTTAATAGAAAAACCACATCTTCTTTATCCAGTCTCCAACTGATGGGAAATTGGGCTATTTCCAAGTTTTAGCTATTACAAACTGTACTGCTATAAACAGAGGTGTGCATATATCACTGTGATATGATTATTTTAATTCTTTTGGAAAGATACCCAGCAAAGGGATGGCTGGGTCAAATGGAACCTCTATACCTAGTTCTTTGAGGTATCTCCATATTCACTTGCACAGGGGTTGCACCAGTCTGCACTCCCACCAACAATGGAGAAGGGTTCCTTTCTCCCCACAACCCCGCCAACATTTGTTGTTGCTTGATTTCTTGATAGCAGCCTTTCTTTGTTTCTCCCACTATTTTTTCCCAGCTTTGGGAGTACTGTTCACACATCCTCGAGCTCAATGCTTCTTTCCTCAGCTGTCTAGTTTGGGTCCATAGATACATTCTTGATTTTTCTTTTACTATTTTTGATCTCTAGCATTTTATTCTTAGAATTTCCATCTGTCTGCCTGCATAATTTGCCTATACTTTTGCTACTGGAGCTTTTAGCATATTAATCATAATTATTTTAAATTCTCAGTGTGATCATTCCAGTATTGCTGCCATTTCTGAGTCTTGTTCTGATGCTTGTTCTTTTTTTTCAGACTGTGCTTTGCCTCTCAATATGCATTATAATTTTTTTCTCAAATGCCACATTTATAAGGCGTGTGACTTTTTAGTGGTGTAAAAGTGTTAAGATCAGCAGTGTGAGCTGTAATACAGTTTGCCTGGCTAAGGGTTGGCCTGTTTACTTTTTGCTACAGCGGAAATATTTGAGGCTGCATATTATATGGTGTCCTTGTTTCTGTCTTCTTGGTTGTCCCTGAGTTCCCTTAGAGACTTCTTAAATAAGATCTGAGCCATGGAGCTCTTTCAGAACTTATGCCCGCTATTGCACAGGAGCTCTGTTGATGAGGTAGTAAGTTTTGAGACCAGGAGAAGTATTCTGTCATCATCCTATGATTAAGTCTCAGTCTTTTAATGAGCCCGGACCCCTATTCTGTGACCTTCAGAGGGTTTATTAATGCACCCTTTTCCCCACCTTAGGTGAGGTGGGTGGGAGGGTAGACTGGTTGGTTGGGTGTTTTCCTCTTCCTATGTAGAAAGCTAAACTTGAATGGGATTGGATATTTATTTGTCAGTTAAACTCTGGTCCAACCTTAGTGATTTAGGTTGTGCTTTTTTTTTTTTTTTTTTTTTTT